ATTGTGTGTTGTTGTTGTTTTGTTGTTGTTGTTTTGTTATTATTTCTTGTTATTATTATTATTTTTTTTAATTGTTTATTATACTATTATCTTATATTATTATATTATCATTATATCATTATAATAATCATTATCCATTATTATCATTATAATTATTATTATCATTATAATAATAATAATAATTATTATTATTATTATTATCATCATTACTCATTAATATCATTATTGTTACCATTATTATCATTATTAATTATATCATTATGATCATCATGATTGTTTATAATATTGTTATGATTATTATTATTTCTGTTATCACCATCTTTACTATTACTATCATTAATTTCATTATTAATATTAATGTCTAGTCATAATCATCATTATATCATTTTATTATCATTATATTATTATATTCATTATTATTACCATTATTGTTATTATTATTATTATCATTATCATTGATATTGCTGTTATTCTTCATCTTCAATTTAATCAACACTGTTTCTGGTTTAATGTCATCACATATCCATAATTCTTGTGATTCTTAAGATGATGAAGAATGATAAAGAAAAAAACTTTGAAATGTAAAGAAGAAAGTTGGTATGATAGAGAAGATCCTAGATATATACATAATAGAAAAAAAACGAAAAAAAACAATAAAGAAAGTAAGATATACAGAGAAGATCCTAGATATATATATATAATAGAAAAATAACAGGAAAAAAACGAATAAAAAAGAAAGTTAGTATAATATACAAAGATCTTATATACATAATAGAAAAAAAAATAATAGAAAAAAACGAAATAAGGCAATATTAATTTACGAGTAAAGAAGAAAATAAACATTTACATAAAATACAAAAGCATATCAGATCTACTTACCGACCCTTGCTGCATGTCACATTATCGAGAAAACATTGGCTTTTGTTAAACTTGAAACTAGAAAGTGTGACTCAACATAAATCACATATTGGTCACGTGACGTTGCATCTAATCACGGACTTAACACCGACCCCCGTTTTCTATATCTCTGACGCGCGACTAAAAGATGGGGGGGGACTGACCTATTTATATAAGTTGTCCTGTCTCAACGAAATTCTGTGACGTGACTGAAGGCAAAAGTAAACACTTTACGTCAGTTCTGGTATTGATTTACGTAAGTACGGAGTAGGGAGGTCAGTTATATAGCGTACAAAACGTGTACGGAATGAAGAATATGGATATATATGTATATATATTGTAAGGCATTTGTGGTATTTCGTGAGCTACCTTGCAAAATACTATCTTGGTACTTTCT